CAGACATAATCTGAATGAGCTTAATTTTATGCTTATTAAAAAAATTACATATATCCAGTTTCAGCTTTATGAAAATAATCAGGTGCAAAAAGCCTAATTTAATACATTTATGACAAAACTAATATATCTGAAACAGAAGAAACAAGTCAAAGATAAAAAAAAAAAAAACAGTCAAAATTAAGATTGAAAATCAAATGTTTTTACACAAAACTTTACTTGTACAGATAGAAAATTAGGTCTACAATGTGTAACATTTTCTTTTCCAGTACAAGAATTAAACAGAAAACAATGTGAACTTTCCCTCGACCTCTCCTTCTGGTCTATACCTTGTTTCCTATTCATCTTTTATCTGGACTTTCTTCTTGTCAGCACACTCGAAGCCCCAGATAAAAATGATTTTCTGAATGTGCTGCCTGTCCTTTATAATGCAAAACTTTGAGGTTGTGGAGGGAACACCTATGGATCAAAAGTGTAAATAAACTTAATTTCTACAAGAAAAAAGTTAAATAGCAAACATGAGAATAGGTAAGAGAAGATATGAGTTGAAACACTTTGTGAGGAATAAAAATCTTTGTGTGGAAAAAAATAAAATTCCTCTAACCTTTCCTCTCAGCTGAACATGATACTGGACAAAACTCAAAGTCCTGATATCATGCAGGTCCTTGTTCAGGGTCCGGGTGCAGTATCTAATGAAAAATAACACAGAACTTTATTTTTGTTTTATACTGTAACCTTCCCATATGTTCTCAAAAACCAGACGTTTTGATCTCAATTTTTCTGTTTATTCGGTAACACTGGTAAATGGGCTGTTAACTCCTGGGAGAGTGCGCAAACACTCTCTTCAGCCCCCGGATAGTCACAACAACAACAAGGACCCCCCTCCCTTCCTGCACACATTAACTCCAGGAGGAAGCTCAGAGGGGACAGGGCCTTCTCTGTCGTGGCTCCAAAATTATGGAATAATTTGCCCATGCACGTTAGAGAGGCCCCTTCACTGTCCACTTTTAAATCACGTCTTAAAACCCACTTTTATTCCTTGGCTTTTAACCTCAGGTGAGACTTAGTTTCTCTTTTAATTGAAGTAGTTATTTAATTAATGATTTTACTCTTCTTTTATTTTGTTTTTATTTATATCTCATGTAATTTTATTTTACAGTTCCAATGTACAGCACTTTGTGTCAGCTGTAATTGTTTTAAAGTGCTTTATAAATAAAGGTGATGATGATGATGTTATTACGGTGTATCCATATAAATGGCCCACCCTGTATAAGAGATGTTGGTGCACTATAACTGAAGTAATGTTGTTAAGTCCTTAAAGTCATATTCTTTTATTGTCATGACTGTGTTTGAAGCTGTTTTTATTTTTGTATGATACCTGATTTATATGAAATATGGCTCAAGTAAACTAAAGTCTAAAATACTTAGTCATTTGTTTAATAGTAATTTAACATTATATAATTCACATATAAAACTATGAATTGTAATTTTAAATGGTTTAAAAGCATGTAGAATAGCATATGTAGCACATGTATGTATATTTCTCCTTTTTTATCAAGAAGCAAAGACAAGAAGGGAAAAAAAAGAAACAGGGCAGGATTTGGTGGTTGAATCATCCGTCACCACCAATGCCAAAACCAAATCTACGCCCTTGCCCACAACGTATGATTTTTGAGCACTGATCTGGCTTTTGAAGTTTTAGAATAGTATTGGAGGCATATATGGAAGCCTGTTAATGTGCATATGTCACACAGTGGAAATTTGTTTGTTTTATAGTCAAATTAGACAAATTGGTTAAAAGCTGCCACCATCATATGTGGCCTCCCATCTTGTTAAAGGACCTGTTTAAAACAAAAAAAAAGCACCAAAAAGGGAGAGAGTGCCCAGACTGTAGGAGGAAGGAGCGTGTAGAAGCCAGGAGAGAGAAGGGCATGCTGTCTGATCGCTAGGGAAGATGGCTTGTGTGAAGACGGGCGGACATCCCATTACTGGCAAAGAAACGGCGGCCAGTGGGAAACTGATCGCCGCAAGTTTTCCACTTTAAGGAAAACTTTTGGACTTGTTCTCATTTGGCATCCCATTCACCCACTGGTGGCGTTGTAGGATTTTCCTCACACTTGTAAAAGCTTTTGAGCAATTGCATCGCCGCCATTCTAGTGTGTGCGTGTGACATTATTGATTCCTTGCTCTTTTCCTTATAATTCCCACCACCTCGTGCTGCTACATTTCTTTAACAATAGTAAATGCAGGTTACACTTCGGGTCTGGTTTCTATGTGTGTGGTTTTGTAGCAGCTAATGTCTTAAACATACAGCAGCAAATTCATTTCAAGTGCTTGTTTTGCATTAATAGAACTTGGTCCTGCTTTTTATTCTACCCGTCTTTGAGATTCTTATACACAGTTCAATTTCACATAATGCTTTATGTGACAATTCTGTTAGTTGGAGTATAAAGTCAGTCAGGCTGAGCACTAAAAAATGTTCTCTTGGGATTAGTTCTTGATCTATTTTTAATCTGTAAAGTGAAAAAAATGGTAAGGTGTAATAATTTTTGAATATTGAAAATCAGATCTCTATCAGTACAAATTAGAATTATTATTATTATGTAAATAATGCAACTTATTTAACATAGATACCCCTCAATCTCACCATTAAAACTTCCAGCCAAATATTATTTAGCTCCTCCTCTTGTTTCACTAAAACATCAGTGACTGGAACAACTCAGACTTCAGTCTGATGGTGATCTGGAGGATATTGTGAGGTTTGCTGCTACATTAATATCTTAGGTTCTTTCTTGTCATCTTAATATTTTCTTTATAAGTAGCTGTGACTCAAAGTACAGTTGGTGCTCTTTTAATTACAGGGTCGATTATCTGAACCTCAGCTCACCCGGTCCACATGTCAAATCATCTTTGAGTAAAATGCTGAAACCCAAATGCTCTGGATGCATCAGTTGGCAGTTAGTGTGTGGTTTATTTTTTTATTTTATTTTTTAGTATATAATGTCCATCGGAGACCCTATACCAGGACTGGACTTCTCTACTTAGCCTGCTTCCACTGCAAACCCAGATAAGTGGAAGAAGATGGATGGATGGTATATAATGTTTGAATGCAATTTTTTGTGCATGAACACATTTCTGATTGCGAGTTGTGCACTCTCCAGAAACCATAAGTTATATTTATGGTTTTATATTTTGTCTTGCATTATATCTGTTCTTCCTTTATTTTGAACTCATCATGATCATCTTTAATTTCTGATTTTAACTTTCGATATTCCTTTATGTCCACACTGTACCAACCCTTATTAATGTGATATAGCACCGCTAGGGGGTGTTGTCCTACTATTGTAGGAGAGACTCCTTGGGTGTGTGTGAGTGCAGCAGCAGCCATTACATGCTGCTCGTGTATCTGTTCCAAGAGACCTCAACGTAACAGGCTGGCACCGGCGACTACCTAACCCTGCACATGTATATACAGACAGAGTAAAGCTGTGGAGACCTGGCTTGTATGGTCTGCTAATGACAAATAAAGGTCTCTTGTTCTATTTAACTGACTGGCCTGAGTAGTGTGGCTAACCTCCAACCTTTCTCATGTATTCAGCATTCCAGCTTTGTTATCCTCCTGTCGCCTCACCCTGTTTTGTCTCCGGGTGTCTTGTTGAACTAACCAAACTGTCATGGTTTGAAAGTCTCAGCCGGCTGACCTGCCTGTGGGCATGTTTTTCTTTGTGTACTGTTTTCGGCTCCCCTCCTGGTCCCCTGTCTCCTCTGTGTTTGTGTGTTTCGGTGTGCCAGTTTTAATGAATCATTAGGCCGGAAGAGATTCCTGCACTGAAGTCAGCCGCACCTGTCTCCCATTTAGTCTCACCAGCTGCCACTAATTACCTTTGTCAGTGGACACTACTTAGCTGGGTGGGTGGGCTTTAGTCGACTCTGGATCGTTGAGTTATTGAGTTAGTGAACCTTGGGCTCTGAGCGGAACTATTGCGGCCATGCTTTTCGTGAGTTTGCCACTGATCTCCCCATTTTGTCTTACCAGGTCATGGGAGTGGAGTGATTGGTTAATCAAGTGTTGGGGAATTTGTCTGTCACAAACCACGAGCATGGAGCGAAAGTCGGGAGCACGTTCACGGAAACCAAGTTATTGAAACTGTTGCACATTGTTCACTAATTCTCACTGTAAATAAACACAAACCTTGATTAACAGCAGTGGATACAGTCTATTTGGGGAGTGCATCTTAGTCATTTGTAGATTGTCCAAGTAAAATCTATACAAAAGTAATGATCCAAGTTTTCTTTGTTTTTTTTCCAAAAACGCGTATGTTTAAGCATCATAAGCATCAACATAGAGATAATTCAAGCCTGTAAAGTTAGAAGTTTGCAGTTCTTACATAAGTACTGAACAAAAAACTGCATTTTTTTTTCTTTACCAAAAAAGACTGTTTCAGCTGAAACGCTGCAGGTGTTCTCCTACCTTTGAATATATCTGAAAGAAAAAAAAAGTCTTCATATGAAATGAAAAAACGGTGAGTAATTAAATTTTTCTGGGAAATATTTTTACATGTCAATCTACATCCAGACACATTTTAACCATGCTTTTTCTTTTTTTTCTAACACACTCCCTGTTGATGGATGCATTTTGCTTCATCACAGTTTACCATGTGGACTGGCAGAGCTGAATGCAATGAAAGATTTTGCAGCTGCATTCTTGGTCTGGTACGAACATAAAACCTGTGCCCACTAATATAGTGATTTTGTTATTTAACAGAATTAAATTCAAGAGGTCCAGCTTGGTTTTATGAACCTATATGCATATTATTTGTTAGCATTGTTGTGTACTTGGAATTTTCATTTTTTATAAAATGCTTTAAAACCATAATAGAAATGTGACAATTTTCATTTTTAAGTGTAATGTAAATAATGTAAATAAATTTATATTTCCTTTAGTTTTTTCTTAATTGGTACAACCTCTAGACGTTTCAAAACCTGGTAATAAAAATAAAACTAAACTGCATGGTCAACATCAAAGCAATCATTTGTTATTTTTGTAAATTGATTCTATAAATCCAGGCAGACACAATGAAAAATGATGTTTGAGCTTTGTGGTTGAATTATTCTTACAAGCACTGACAATGAATTAAACAGTCTATACTTTGTTTCCTTTTCAGCTTTTATCTGGACTTTCTTCTTGTCAGCACACCATAAGTCACAGGTTGGACTGAGTCTCTCAAAGTGCTGCCTGTCCTGTACACTGCAAAACTTTGAGGTTGTGGAGGGACCACCTATGGATCAAAAGTGTAAATAAACTTAATTCTTACGAGAAAAACATTAAATAGCAAGCATGAGGGTAGGTAAGAGAAGATATGAGTTGAAACACTTTGTGTGAAAAAAATAAATAAGTAAATAAAGTTCCTCTAACCTTTCCTTCCAGCTGAGCATGATACTGGACAAAACTCAAGGTCCTGATCTCATGCAAGCCATTTTTCAGGGTCCTGGTGCAGCATCTAATGAAAAATAACACAGAATGTTATTTTTGTTTCATTTTTATATATGGGTTTAGAAATGATTAAGAATTTGCTGATAGTAAAAATAATCATTATTTTTCAGTAGATATTTTGTTTTTTGACAAAGTAGAGGTAAAAATTTTGGTGAAATGAATGAAAACATATTTTGTGTTCATGAAAAATGAATGTAACATTCAGTTTTGTGTTATATTCTTTAAATAATTCAACTTATTTAATACAGTGAAATTCTGATAGATACTGCTCAGGCTCACCATTAAAACTACCTGCCCAATAGTGTTAAGCTCCTCCCCTTGTGTCACTAAAACATCGTTGACTGGAACAATTGAGTTTGTTCTGAAACCTCAGACTTCAGTCTGATGGAGATCTGGAGGATCTTGTGAGGTTTGCTACTACATTTCTTGTATTCTAAATATTTTCTTTATAGGTATCTGTGATATAGGGTTGGTGCTATTTAATCACAGGGTTGGTTATCGGAACCTCCAGTCCAGTCCAATCCAATCTAATCCAATTTTATTTATAAAGCACTTTAAAATACCCAGCACAGGACCAAAGTGCTGTACAGAAAATAAGTTAAAAACAATAGAATAACAGAAAACAGCAAAAATAAATAAACAAAAGACGTAATACAGAAAAAAACAGCCCTATATTAAAAACAAGATAAAACAGCATAGAATCAACTAAAAATAAAACCAACATCTCACACGGGGTCAAAGGAAAGGGGAAAGAGGTGGGTTTTTAGGAGTGATTTAAAAACATTTAGAGAAGAAGCCTGTCTAATCTCTAAAGGCAGATCATTCCACATTTCCACAGAGCTGCTACAGCAAAAGCTAGATCTCCTCTAAGTTTATGCTGAGTCCTGGGTACCTTCAAGAGCAGTTGATCAGCTGACCTGAGAGAGCGGGTGGGTGTATAAGACTGTAGCAGCTCAGACACTTAAGATGGGGCTAGGCCATTGAGGGATTTAAAAGCAAATAAAATAATTTAAAAATGAATCCCAAAAGAAATGGACAGCCAGTCAAGTGAAGCTAAAATATGGGTGCCAGTTAAAAGAGGAGCTGTGGCATTTTGCACCCTCTGTAGATGAGTAACGTATGATGCACTGATCCCTATATAAAGTGCATTACAGTAATCCAGCTGAGTGCAAACAAAAGCGTGGATAACTGTCTCAAAGTGTGCTGTGAAAGAATTGGCTTTATTTTAGCCAGCTGCCTGAGCTGAAAGAAGCTTGATTTTGCCTTAATCTGACTGTCAACTTTCAGTTCAATCCACTTTGATCCCCAGGTTTGTGACAGTTGGCTTAACATACTGGGCCAAGGTATCTAAACACACATTTGGGGTCTCAGTGGGGCTACCAAAAACCATCACCTCAGTCTTTCTGTCATTGAATTTTAAAAAGTTAAGAGACATCCAAGCCTTAATTTCATCAGGATACTGAAGTAATGGTGTGTGAAATATGTGCCTTTTTTCTTTAGAGGGACATAGATCTGACAGTCCTCAGCATAAAAGTGCAATGTAATGCCGTGTTTTCTCAGTATAGGACCAAGAGGGATCAGATATTAAAAAAAGAGGAAGGGGACCTAGAACTGAGCCCTGTGGGACACCACAAAAGAGAGGAGTGGAGGACAACACATGGTTACAGAGACTGACACAAAAAGTTCGCCCTGCCAAGAAAGAACTGAAACACTCCTAATGCCCACCCAGTGCTCCAAACGAGAGAGTAAAATGGCATGATCCACTGTATCAAACACAGCTGTCAAATCTAAAAGCACAAGAACAACACAGTCCCCAGAGTCATGTCAAATCATCTTTGAGCAAAAAACTGAACCCCGAAATGCCCTGGATGCATCAATCAGCAGTGGTTTTAGTGTTATATGTTATAACTTTACGTAGTACTCATCATGAGTACTACATAAAGTTCTGATTTTTTTACCTCCTGTAGTCCTATTTGACCACACCATTTTAAGTTCCTACTATATTCCACAATATACCTGCCTCTGTCTCCTCCTCTCTGCATGTGAGCTAAGTTCTTCTCGTCTTCTTTCAGATTATCTTTCTCAAGTATTCAGCATTCCAGCTTTCTTATCCCTCTTGTTGTCTGGCCCTGTTTTGTCTCCGAGTGTCTTGTTGAACTTATTTCCTGTGTACCAAACCTTAATTTACGGCAGGGAATATCATCTATTTGGGGAGTGCATCTCAGTTGTTTGTAGCAAAATCTACATGAAGCACGATGACCCTACGCACAGTGAACGCAGACTCTTTGAGAGTAACAAAGGTATTTTTCTAGTTGCAGAATGGAAACATGCACGCCGGAGGTTTACCACAAAAAAAGAAAAAAAAAGAAAAAGTCCCCAGTATCAATGTTAGCTTTGACTCTGACCACCTTTAACCACTTCTTCACGACTCTTATTTCCTCTTTTCACTCTCGTCTGTATAGAAAAATAGGCCAACATAAAGAACAGAGGCTGATTTAAGCCTTTACAGACGTACTGAACAAAAAACTAAACTTGAAAAATAAAAACTATTTCAGCTCAAACTTGATAATTCTGGTGTTCTCCTACCTAAAACAATAAAGCATCTTCATATGAAATAAAAAGGTTGGGTTGAGTAATAAAAGAAACTACTGCCAGACACATTTATTCTGTGTTTTATTTTTTATTGAACACACTCGCTGGATGGATGCAGTTTCAGTATTTTGCTCCATCACAGTTTACCATGTTTACTGACAGAGCTGGATGCAATGAGAGATTTTTCACCTGCATTCTTCGTCTGGTATTAACATTCACCCTGTCTCAGTGATTTTGTTATTTAACTGAACTGAACTCAAGAGGTCCAGGTTGGTTTTATGAATCGAAATGCATTTTATTTTTCGATTGTATTGTGTACTTGGAATTTTCATTTATCATAATTTGCTTTGAAATCATCATAGAAATATGACAATTTTAATTTTAAACAAATTACTATCCTATAATATTAGCAATATACATTTATTTCCATTTCACTTTGTTTTTTTCTTATTTGGTGCGGCGCAAGAAAGAAGAAGAACACAAAATAATCACATTCATACATTCATTATGAAGATAAAAAGGTTTTACTCACCTGTAGAGAAACACAGCTAGTGTGATGCAACACAGAAGGAATCCAATTGCAGGTGGGAGTATGTATAGAAAATACTTTGATGAAGTGGATTCTGTATCAAATCAGCAGTGAATTAATTTAAAATGCTTGGTTGACCTTTGCTAGAATTGACTGGATCTGCTTTTTGTCTACCTACCTGTGGGGTTCTCAGACACAGTTAAACTCCATGTAAAGCTGTTTACGCCACGTCTGTCTGTTATGTTACATGTATAAAGTCCTTCATCTTCAGGTTGAGCACTAAGAATAATGAGCTTTGTAGGAAACTCATGATTTATTTTCAGTCTATGCAATGAGAAATTTGAATGGGTGCGATTCAGCTCAATGGAATAATGAAAAACAGATCTTTTGTTGGTCCAGGAGATTTGTGTTGCATTTGTCTTGGATATGTTGCAAGTCAGCGTCACTGAGTCTCCTCGGGACACCAGCACAGCTCTGTGGTTGACTTTAACGATCACTATAGTTTAAAGGAGACAATCATTCAATATAAAATTCTATCTGCACTTCATCTGTAAATAAGTGAATCTCAAACACAAATGTGCTCTTTACCTGCAAAGACATCCCACACCACTAACAGCTGAACGAAGAGCAGTGCTGCTCGGTTTATAGTGAACATCGTGATCATCAGACAGAGAGAGAAACAGACCTGAACTTCACCGTCAGCTTTATGTGTATCTGAGGAGGAGCCGCAAAAAAAGAGGAAGTGGTTTGTTGCAGTTAAACTCAACACAAATATGTGATTCACCTTTTTTGAGAAAATACATGGAAAAATACATGTTACATGGGAGTAATTTATACAATATTTCAGATTCACAACAAACTGTCACAGTTCAAACATGGAAAGTGAAGTGGGAATATAATTATATGAAAAACAATTGTCTCCTATAATTTAGTCTCTCGTGTGACTCACTTGTGTAGAGAGGCAACTTTGAACTGCAACACTACATCACCACCTCAGAAAATCACACCCAAACACTGTGGTGTGCTTTTACATTGTAAAGTTGGACTGATTGGTTTAATGAAGTAAAAACTGTGTATTTAGCAAATGAATTTCAGAAAGTTGAAGATCTCAAAGAAAAATGAAAGGACCCAAAATTTCCCAAAGTTAGAATATATCAGTCACCTCTACCTTACTACTGACATTTCTTCTTTTCAGTGTCTTCTCTTGGCTCGATTCATTCTTTTAAAAATACAAATAGTTTGGGGTGCTCACTAAATTAATATATTTATTTTCTAATTGAAGAATTTCTCAAGTTTGAATCTTTTATCAGTAAAATGAAAGTTCATTTTACCCATTTTGTCTGCACTCAATCACACATTTTATTTATTAGAATTTTTATTTCATTGTACAGTTGGATTTCTTTTAAATCTTTCATAAAATATTAACTCAATATACTTCACATAAAATGCTTCTCAGATTGTTTAAACTGAGTCATCACATTTTTGTGATGTTAAAAACCACTAATAATAAACATCTCGTTCTGTAAATCCCAGGTATTCATCTTAGACACACAAAGGTTAAAGGCCACCTTTTAAATCACATTTATCCAGTTATCACTAACCAACTTATCAACTTAATAATATAAATATAATCAACTGTCACAATCTGCTGGCTATTTAAAAACATTACATGTTCCACTTGTTACATATATTCATATATATTCTACATTTATGCATCAAACGTCGTTCATAAGAAAGAATCTTACAGATCAAGTTTGAAAATATGCCAGTATGTATGTTAATATGCTAATGTGTATGTTTATCAAACTTATTTTAAACTATGGATTGCTTTTCTTAAAAAGCACATTTTACCTGTAGCATAACATAAGCAGTTAAGTGAGGATCAAGTTCAGTCATATTAATAAAATATAAAGTGCTCAGATTTAGAGAGATTTACTAAAAAAAAGAATAAAATTGGTACTCAGTGAGCAGAAATTTGATCAAATAAAAAGTTGAAAGGCTGGATTAGTATCTATTAAATGTCACAGTGATTAACAGTGTATCTCGGTTGGACACAATTTCAAGAATCATCCTTTTCAATAAGCAATCCAATTGTAGGTGGGAGTCTGTATAGAAAATACTTTGATGAAATGGTTTCTGTATAAAATTAGAAGCGATGAAGAACTGTAGGTCACTTGTAATGTCGCATGTATAAATGTCCATTCCATCCATCCATTCGCTTCTGCTTATCCAGCTGTCATAGGGCGAGAGGCGGGTTACACCCTGGACAGGTCGCCAGTCTGTCGCAGGGCCAACACACAGGGACAGACAACCATTCGCGCTCACATTCACACCTAGTAGTAATTTTGGATTATCCAATTAACCTATCCCCACAAGTTGCATGTCTTTGGACGGTGGGAGGAAGCCGGAGTACCCGGAGGGAACCCACGCAGACACGGGGAGAACATGCAAACTCCACACAGAAAGACCCCGGCCTCATGGTGGAGTTGAACTCAGGACCTTTTTGCTGTGCGGCAACAGTGCTAACAACCATGCCACCGTGCTGCACCATGTATAAATGTCTTCAGTGAATAAAATAAATTTAAGGGTTCATGAAGTTTAATCACATAATATTTCAACATACAAATAATATAATATGTCAGTCTTAAACAGTCACTTAAAAACTGGGAGGTTGATTTAAGGTACAGTGTGTAGCTGTAATCTCACCACTAGATGTCAGTAGATAGCAGATTGCAGTCAAATTAATTCTGTGTTTAACTCTCCTCTCATTTCAAGTACATTTAGGGGGGTAGTGTGAATGCTGCAGGCCAAACAACTATAACCGCTGTTTATGTGCAGTGATTCTAGCAGAAGGAAATATTGAAAATCCAAGAGATTATTGTTTTATCTTTTTTTTATTGGATATGCTACAAGTCAACATCACCAAGTGTCTTGTTGACAACAACACAGCTCTGTACCACTCTCTGATGTAAAGACAAAATAAAAAAATCAATACAAAAATACAAAATGTAAAAACAGAATAGCTAAAATCCAAAAATGTTCATTAACATAGAAAACGTTTGTTCATTTGCTAATTATTACTAAATATTTAAGGACATTTTACTAAACAAACATCCGCTACATCCACATTAATGAACAATAAAAAATTATTATTATTATTATTATACTCAAAATTATGGCACACATATTAAAAAGTATTTCTGTGGGGCAAACAGCAAACGTCTGCACTTTACACTTAATTATTTCTGCAGTGAAACTTCTTTAAAATGCTTAAAAGCAACAAAGAAAACAAAATAATGAACACAAATTACAACACTATTCCCTAAAATCCTGCACAGAGAGTGACCTGCCTTGGTGGAGGTCTGAATTTCCTGAGTGTCTTTTGTTGGAAAATGGTTCAGAGAACTTCAAATCATGTATAAATAAATATACTTACCTATACAGACAAAAGGCTAAAATAAAATTTGGTAGACAAAATTTGAGAGTATTAAAGATGATGACGATCTTCTGATCTCTTCTCATGACTGAGGGAGAAACTGATCCTGATTCAGTGTCCTTATCATAATCTTTCTGCAGAGTAAAGCAATAATGACACTGACACTCACTAGTCTCCTTCATTCTGCTTAGTGCACAATCCCAGGATATGGTGAAACCCTCCATGCATGGTATGGATGGACTTGTAGCTGGCCTTGATGTCTGCATTGTTGCCTTCTGCCAGTGCAGTTTGCTCAGTTCTGCTTTCCCTCTCTTTGTTACCATCTCACTACACTTCTCCAGTCCGCATGACATCACAGTGTCATTGCTGTATATCCTAGTGGTATGGATCAGTGAGTCTATGTCTCGTTCTCTCTTGGCATACAGCTTGATGTCATCCATATAGTTGTGGTGGCTAATGATTGCTTGATTGTGTAGTTGATATCCCTAGCCAGTCTTGTTGATGATCTGGCTAAGGGGGTTCAGGCCTATGCAGAACAGCAGTGGGGACAGTGCATCTCCTTGGTAAATCCCACACTTGACCACGCACTTGGCTTCAAGTTGGCCTCTAGCATTGTTCACCACATCCCCATTGAATTCCTGATGAAGGCTCTTAGGGTCCTGTTGTTCTTGTATTTCTAGGCATTCCAGGATCCGTGTGAGTCATAGGCTTTCTTATAGTCAGTCAATAGGTTGACAGTACATAAGTTGGTGAACCTGGTCTTATACTCACAGATGAAGAAAAACACTTCTGTCAAACTAAGTGCTCTCAAAGTTGTTACAGCAAAGATCCTTGAGATATAAAAGCTCCTTGGATGGTGATGGATGGTTGGAACTGTTCTGCTCACAGGCAGAGTCATTTGTCTGAGCTGAAGCTGAGGGTATTATAGCCCGGGTGTTCTCCCTCTGACGGCGTTCCCTTTTAGTTTCTCCTTTGACACTGTTCATGTCTGTCAGGAACTGGAAGGTTTTTCAGTTGATCACTTCATAGATTGAAGTGATCATAGATTGAATTCAGTCTCTCCATATACTGACTCCTCTGCCTGTTGTTTTTGCAATTAGTGCTGCCACCCTGTGGTTGAGGGAGAGATGTCTATGAAGACAAAGTACAGACTGTACAAAGGCAGAGACATGTGACAGTGTTAAAGATGGCAACAATCTTCTGACCTCTTCTCCTGACTGAGGAGGAATCTGATCCTGGACGGCATCCTGATTTAGTTTCATCATCATGCTTTTTCTGCAAAAAAAAGAAGTGACCAATAATAAAATCTTAGAAGTCACCCGGTGTTTCAGTAAGACAGGATGAGTAAACACTGCCTCATAATGACTAGAATAAACACAAAACATATTCTTTTTTTTGTTTCCTTCCTTTGAAAATTTTCTGATAGTGGATTATTTATAGTGAAAATTATAAATATCTGTTGCTGCTTTTTGATATTTACCAAATTAGAGGTATGAATTATGGGTGATATGTATGACACACACTTTTAATCGCACAATACATAATCTGACAGTTCATAGCAAAGAAAAATGTGAAAATTGTCTTTGAAAGTGAATGTAAACAGTTGCGTATACAGTTATTGTGTTTTTCAGTCCCATTACTGACACATCCCAGTTCTTTAAGTATTGTCATTACTGTGGTTATTGCAATAATAGGGTTGAATTTTGGAACATCCTGTTATAACAGGATATAATATTCCCAATACAAATGAATCCGCAGCATTAACTAAACTAATTGAAAATATCATTAATAATAGTTCAAAGAAAATGCTCAGTTGGAGTTTTTGTTGACCTAAAAAAAAAGCTTATTATTTGATAGACAGACAACAATTTGTGAAGATTGGTGAATATCAATAAGAGTGCCTGGACAGTGTTTGTGACGTTCCACAGGGGTCAGTATTGGGACCAAAACTGTTTATCCTGTACATCAATGATATATGTAAAACATCTGATATATTACAGTTTGTTTTATTTGCAGATGATACAAATATTTTTTGTGCTGGAGAGAATTCACGGATTTTGGAAATTGTCACACAAGAAATAATTAAACTGAAAATGTGGTTTGATAGAAATAAGTTATTGCTAAACTTGAATAAAACTACATTTGTGTTATTTGGAAATTGTAAAAGAGATGCTGGAGCAAATTGTTGATAAATAATGTTGAAGTGGAGCAAGTTTCTCATACAAAATTTCTGGGTGTGATAATAGATAACAAATAAATAACATTATGTAAAACTCCGAAAAAAGCAATCGGGATGATTACTAAAGCAGGATTTAGAGACTACACTAACATTATGTTCTTAAAATTGAAAATCCTGAGGCTTATGGATCTTATAAAATAAAAAACAGCAGAGATTATGTACAAAGCCAGATATAATATGTTACCGGGAAATGTACAAAGGATGTTTTTTGACAGAGAAGAGGACTATGATTTGAGGGGAACATTTAATTTGAAGACTCTTAAAGCACAGACAAGAGTTAAAACCTTTTGTATTACCATTTGTGGAGTAAAACTGTGGAACAGTTTTCCTGTGGGTACAGCAATGTTCAAGCATTAGTCCGTTCATAAAGATGTTTTGAAACGTGATTTGGAAGAATATGAAACTGATAAAGCTGATGAAGATAGTGTATATATATAACTATGCTAAATTGTATCTGAATTATATCTATCACTGTAGCTATGGTTATACATGTCCTTCAGCCTGTCTTTATTGTGTGGGGCTAGTGATGAGGGGAAGTTGGGGTAACATCGAATATGTTGATTCAATAGAGTGTTGAGCGTGGGGTAGGGATTAATAAGTATGTACATACGTCTTCCTACTGCATTTTGGACTTACAGTGGTATGCAAAAGTTTGGGCACCCTTGATCATTTTCCTTCGTAAATCACTGGCTATTTGGATCAGCAATTTCATTTAAATATATCATATAGCAGATGAACACAATGATATTTTATTGTCACTGTTACAAGAACAATGAAAGTCAGTTTGGCATCTCCCATGTGTGTGAAGTACACAGTAGCTTAAGTATTAAGTAAGTAGATGTTCCTTTTACAGAAATAACAGCCTCTAAACGCTTCCTATAGCTTCCAATGAGTCTGGATTCTGGTTGAATGGATTTTGGACCTTTCGTCTTTACGAAACATCTCCAGTTCACTCAGGTTTGATGGTTTCTGAGCATGGACAGCCCGCTTCAGGTCACACCATAGATTTTCAATAATATTCAGGTCTGGGGACTGAGATGGCCATTCCAGAATATTGTACTTGATCCTCTGCCTGAACGTCTTAGTAGATTTTCAAGAACCTGCTGATACTGACTGGAATGCAACCCTCAACTTTAGCAAGATTCCCAGTACCTGCACTTCAGCCCCACAGCATGATGGAACCGCCACCACATTTTACTGTGGGTAGCAAGTGTTTCTCTAGGAATGCTGTGTTCTGTTTCCACCATGCATACCGCCTCTTGTTATGTCCAAATAACTCAATTTTAGTTTCATCAGTCCACAGCCCCTTATTCCAAAATGAAGCTGGCTTGTCCAAATGTGCTTTAGCATACCCCAAGTGACTCTGTTTGTGGCAAGTGTGCAGAACAGGCTTCCTCTGCATTACTCTCCCATCCAGCATCTCCTTCTGCAAAGTGCACTGAATAATTAAACCAGTGGTTCCCAAACGTTTTTTGCTAGGCCCCCCTTTGTTTTACAAGACAAATGTTCGCACATCCTCCAACCACACACACCCATATTTTGCTCCATTGCGGTTTATTTCACACCTCAAACATTTAGTAAGCAATTAAGCAAATACAACTAATCTGCAATAAATTACAGGTAGTAAGGAAATAAACTACTAACTCTTTTACGTTACGTCCACACCTACACGGGTATATTTGAAAACGCAGCTGTTTCGTCCACACATAAACGGCGTTTCGAATCACCAAAAACTGAGATTTTTTTAAAACTTTTTTTGCGTTTACGTGTGGACGAGGAATACAGAGTTCGTCACGCAACGTCAAAGGTATGCGCCTTTTTTCACGTCACGCTGTGCGCCACGTTGCGGTTTACACGAGATGAATTGCAGAATGGCAGATAGAGACAAAATACCGTTTCTGTTAATCTGACTATCTTCAGGTTTTACAGCTTACATATATACATGCAGTTACTGTCCCTCCATTTAGAAAGGCAGAGGCGTCATGGTGTGATTATTTTACGTGTAGTTGTTTTTTTTCCCCTGTGTAATACTATTCAACATTGCAATCTAATCAAAAAATGCCTCTCTGTGCAAAGTGGGTTTAAAAACATAAACAGCTGTGGGATACTGTTTGTCCGCGATTTGAACTGCATGGGGCACAAATCGTGGCAGAAACGGCCTGATGTTATTTGTATCCCACTGTAACTTTACTGTATAAAGAGCTAACATCTCCAAAATATCAGGAGTAGTTAGTCATTACAACAAGTGTTTGTGAACTAAAAATCAAGAATGTGGGATACTGTTTGTCC